TGCGGTAAAAGAAAAGAAAAATAGAGATTTTGAAGATGATGAAGATTTTGAGGAGGTAAATTACTTTGATTTATGTTTGTTTCTATTGATAACACAATGTAATCAAAAACTTATGAGAGACAGGTTGGTGGTCGCACTGTGTTATCACCAATATTTTGTGATAACACAATGTTATCACCTTGTCACACCATGTTAGCACCTTGTTATCACAATGTTATCCTTGTTTTCACCTGGTTATCACCATGTTTTTTTTAGGTACAAAAAAAAGAAAGTACAACAAGGAAATAGAAAGGGAAATGAAAAAAAAACAGAAAGTGGATGAAGAGGCCATTGAGGAGGTAAATTACTTAGATTTATACTTGATTCAATTGTGATAACATGGTGTTATCACCATTTTTTTACTTAATAACATGTTGTCATCTAATTCCATATTTTTCTTTTAAACTATCTGAAGGTGATAACACAATGTTATCACCCTCAAACAAGTTTTATTAATTGTGTTCTTAGCAAATACATAATGAAAAAAAAAAATTTTGTTTCAGGTACCAAAAAAGAAAGAACAAAAAGGAAATAGAAGAGGTAATAAAAAATAAAAGAAAGAGAAGAAGGGAACTGGAATATTAAGGGGCAAACTTAATAGTGTTACAAAAAATTTTGAGGACATAAATGGGTCACTTACTGAGGAACATCTTAAAGTCCTACATGCAACACCCTTCGGAATCCTATTTAAGGCATTTACAGATAATGTTATATGCAAGAAAGAACACAAGGCATTAATTGAAGAAGTTATATCTTTGATGGATGATAAGCGCTCAAAAGTGTAAATTTATCCCCTCAACTCATGTATATTTGTCTCAAGTTATGGTATAAAGTGATATGATATGCTTGGTGTTGTTAGAATTATGTGTTTGTAGGTGCATTTCGCCCGGAAAAGCTAAAAGGAAGCAAAATACGGTAAAAAGGCAGTTTCGACTAGCCAACTTGACACAATTAAACGAAAGGGTTAGAGAGCTCGGATTTTGAAGCACAAATAGGCATTGGAAAGCTCTCACTTCCTAATTCAAGACTGTCTAGGTAGATCGCAGAGAACAGAGATGGAATCAGGACGAAATGACTCATCAAAATCGGCCAGACCCAGTTTCTGGAGGCAGTTTTTGGGCCCATTAGGCTTCTTGGAATTCGTATTTCTAGAAGGAATTTGGAACCGAGATTTTGACTGAGTCTTCCACGTGACTTTACCAAGCTCTCTACCAAATTGCAGCTCCAGAAGCTTCCTACAAGTTATATAACAAAATACAAACTCTTTTCTAGCAATTTTCAAGGAGTTCTAGGGTTAGATGGACTCCTCCCTATATAAGGAGAGGAGAGCCACGAAATTCATCATGCTTTGATCTTAAATTGAAGTATCATTAGGGTTTTATATTATTTTATGTTGAACAAGAAGTTCCTTTCATTTTAATACAAGTCTATTTACTTTTCAAGTTCAAGTTCTTCATATTTTGATTATATCTTTACTTTTTATGCAATTCCATATCTTGTCTTTACATTCTTGTCTTTTAATTATGTCTTTTACTTTTACATCTACCATGATCATCACCACAATCACCATGAGCTAATCGATTCATGGGGCTTTACTAGTGGACTAGGTAAGTAGAAGAATTTACTACAAGTGTTCCATGTTTGCCATGCTAGGAAGGTAATTATTTTATGATTGATCACATAGGATAGTTTTTTTTCTTTGTTCTTCATAATAAACAAAAGAGAGATCTTTTTGCATGAGTAGAGACTTCCGAGCCTCATAGTAGAGTTAACTTGCTTTTGCAGATTGGGTTTGCTAGCACTACTAAAGGTTTGAAGGGAAGGCACTGCTGAAGGAATTCCCGGAAAACCGTTAAATCAAATTGGCGCCGTTGCCGCTCTAAGAAGATTCAAGGTACTTACAGAAGAGAA